TGGGGGGGGTGACACTCTATGGGGGTGCTGCTCTGTGGGAGTGATACCCTGTATTGTTCTATGGGGGTGACACTCCATGGGGATGACACTCTCTGGGGGTGATGCCCTATGGGTGTGATCCTCTGTGGGGGTGTTGCTCTGTGGGGCTGACACTCTTAGGGGATCACACTCTATGGGGTTGACACTCTCTGTGGAGGTGGTGCTCTATGGGGGTGATGCTCTTTGAGGGTGCTGCTCTATGGGGATGTTGCTCTATGGGGGTGATGCCTTATGGGGGGGGGGATGCTCTATGGGAGTGATCCCAGGCAGAGGCATCACAGCCAGCTGTGGGGCACTGGGTCCTGCTGGTGGGAGCGGGTGCCCTGGGGACAAGGCAGATGCTGCCATCATGGGCTGGTCAACGTGTCCTGCAGGACGGCTCGGGGCAGCAATGACCCAGGCCCAGCCAGGTCTCAGGTCCCTGCACAAAGGGGCCAGCGTCACAGCCAGCTGTGGGGCACTGGGTCCTGCTGGTGGGAGTGGGGTCCCCAGCCCTGGGGACAAGGCAGATGGTGCCATCACGGGCTGGTCAACGTGTCTTGCAGGACGGCTCGGGGAAGCCATGACCCAGGCCCAGCCCGGTCTCAGGTCCCTGCACAAAGGGGCCGATGACCATCTCTCCCTCCGTGTCCATCGATTTATTTACGGATGGAGGTGGTGGGAGCTGCATGGCCCAGCGCTGGGCACTGCTTTGAGTGTGGCACTGCTATAATATAGGCAAAACCAAGATAAAACCCCATAAAATAAAATCAAACAAAATTAAATTTAAAAAATAAGATAAAATGAAATGAATAAAATATAAAATATAATTTAAATCCCTCTGCTCACAGACACACACACACTCCTGATTTCTCCCTACAAAGTGACACTATCCACAAAGCCACCGACCAAACACCATCGGGGACGGGGGGGGGTCACCACCCGCTGCCTCCCGTGACACCCACCAGGTATCAAAGCTCCTGGGCACAGACCCCGCAGCCTCCCTCCCCTCTCCCCACTGCCATCCCATTGCTGGTGCCACAACAAGCCAGGACACGGGGACTTTCTCTGATGGTCGGTGTGGGACAGTGCATCCGGGCAGGGGACAGGGCAGGGGACAAGGGGGTCGGCACGGGGCCACCTCCGGTTTCTTGTATGGAAGGTGCTGGTTCAACAGCCAGAGGATGCTCACAGCAGTTGTGTCTTGCCTCAGCCCCGAGCAGAGACAAGCCAGGCCCCATTGCACCCCAGGATTTTGGTGGCTTAATCAAGTTTTTGGGACATTATTTGTATTTGCCCTTGGATTTCTGGGGACGTGTCTGGGCAGGCGCTTCCCTGATGCTCTAAGGCTTTGTATATTGAAATATATAGCTATAGCTCTAGGTATAGGTGATATAAATAGATGTAGAAATAAATATAGATGGTGTGGATATGGATATGGAAGGATTTTATAAGAGGCACAGAAAAGTGGGATTCAAAAAGATTCATCTCCTTTCAGACTAAGGGGTTTAAGGGACCAAACCAGCAGGTACCCCAGTAGCCCAATATTTAGAGCTGAATCAAGGACTGAAAAAGCTTTTAAGCTCTATCCTAATTATTCTTGGGACGTCCCGGTGTATCCATTTGGGTTTGATTTGGGTTGATTTGTTGGCTGCCCCTGCAAATTGGCCCAAAACAGGACACACGCTGAGCAGTTCCTGTGTCACTGCTGCTCTGAGCCTTCTCCCAGGAGTTCACATATTGAGTGTGAAACCCAATATTTTTTGGGAAAAAAAACCCATACCTGTAAGACTTGCCTACTTTAGCAGTAAATAAATCGAAATGTTAATTAATTAGCCTGTGCTGCCATGAGCTAGTAGACCCAAGGGGCCATTTCTAGGCTGCTACAAATAGTTGGGTCTTGGGGTCGCTCCTATAAATCATATTTTAGGTTTAACAAGGGCCGGCAGCCACTTCCAGGTAAAGATACACACCAAAAGAAAGTTAATTCAGAGCTTTGCTGAGTAACGCTCTCATTTTTCAGGCTGTCAGCTCTTTTCTCTGAAATAGCCGGTCAGCCCCAAATCCACAAATCAAACTGCTAGAAGTTCTTCTCCAGAAATCCCCTTGGGATGGCCTGAGGGTGTCCAGCCCGCCTGACATTTTTTATGAGCCCGATTAGGTGATTTTCAGAAAAAAAAAAAGCTGTTCTGCCCAAGGACGTTTGTCTGTCTCCAACCCTTTGTCATAGTCATTGAGTAAGGAGACAGTTTTTTTACCTGCAGCGAGTGGATGGCCCCATTTCTCCTCTGTCCACAGCCCCAAAAGGGTTTTTTTCAGCCTTTCTGGTTAACGAAGCATTTGGCCTCCGTGGGTCCTGGGGACCCCGAATGGTGTTGGCTCCTCCAGCCGCTTTGCAGGGGGGGAAGGAACGTGCCCGTCTCTGCAGGGGTGCTGTGCTGCGGTGATGAGGTGGTTTTGGGGGGGGCTGGTGGGGTTTGGCCGGGCTGGAGGAGGTGAGACACACGGTTGGCACCTTGGATCCCTGCAGGCGACCAGTGAGTGCGGGTCCGGCAGCTCGTCCTGCAGCCCCGAGTGGAGCAACCAGCTGGAGTTTGGCACCAACCCTGCGGGTAAGGTCCCCCCCAACACCCCGCAGCCCCCCTGAGCTCTGGGGTGGGGGGGGACAGCAGTGGGGGACACCACAGCCCTGGGGCAGAGCATCGCTGAGCCAACGTTCCCCTCCCCAAGCAGGAGACGCTCGGAGCAGAGGACAAAAGGAGCCTTGTCCTCCTCTCCCAGCCCCGCTGTTGCAGAGAAATGAGCTCATAAATCCCCCAGTGCTTCCTTGGCTCGGTGCTTGTTGGGTTCAGGCTTCTCCCGTTCCCTGATTTCTCCAAGGTGCCCACCTTTCCTGAGCCAAGGAATTGGGCTGCAGCAGCCCGGGACCCCATCGGCTTGTTCCCCATCAAGGGTTTGTCCATCAGTGTCCCTGGGCTTGGCTCTGCCCGCTGTGGTGCTGAGCATCCCTGCCCCGGGTTCCTTTCCCTCCCCACACCCCCTCTGCAGCTGCTCTTTTTTTTTTCCATTATTGCAGTCACACACTCTCCCCCCCTCCCACCAAATCCACCTGTTTTTTCCCCCAGAAGGTAGAAACTCATTTTCCAAAAGAGAATAAAACCTAAAGAATGTCCCAAAGTTTCCCTCCCTTCTGCCCTCCCCAGGGGAAGGTCTCACCCCCTTCAGGGTGGGAGCTGGGAGTGGGTCCCTGGATCACTCCAGCCACCTGGGGGATTGCGGGGTCCCCCTTGCTGCCCCCAGCACATGTTCTCCATCCCCAGTGGAGTCTCCATCCCCCGTGCAGTCTCCATCCCCAGTGGAGTCACCATCCCCTTGCTCTTCACAGATCACCTCCTGGCTGACGACACGGCCGAGGACCGCAACCTCCACTCGCTCTCCTCCATCGTGGAGAGCATCGCTGTGGAGGACGTGGCGGTGACGTTCCAGGAGGAGCGGGTCCAAAACTGAGCCGGCACCAACCCCAGCGGCTCTTGGAGCTGGTAACGGGGTGGGAATGAGACGCCGGAAGGGTCCAGCCGCTGGAAACCATATTTACCCCTCCGGCGCCGTGGGCCGCAGCGCTGGAACCACTCGCCTCCTTCCCCACCCCTGGCGAAACGCTCCCCCTGAAAAGAAGTGATGGGGAGAGGTGGGATTTCGGCAGCGCCGCGGCCCCAGGCTGGGGGTGGCCCCGCTTCCCGCGGGGGTGGCCGCCCGGCCTCGGGCTCTGCTCCGCTCCCCATCCAGGGGCCATCGGTTTTTGGGGGCCAATGTGTGTGCTGGGGTCGCTTGCTCATTGTTTGTTTTATTTTTTCCAAGATGCTCTTCGACCAATGTCTCTCTCTGGCCGGTGCCCCACGGGTGCTGAGCCCCGCAGGGGCCGCCCGCGCCGACTTTTTTACTGAACGCTGTGTGGAATTGCCATTTGGTTTCTTTTTTATTATTATTTTTGCTAACTTATTTGGATGATTTTTTTTTTTTTTTAAATAAAGGCATTCGTGTTTGAACGGCTCGGGGCTTTCTTTACCACTCTCCCCCCTCTGCAGAGGTTTCCCCTAATTCCCAGCCTGGGGATATGGAAAATCCAGCTGGATCTCAGCGTGGTTCCTCAGTGGTGGGAACTGGATGCCCCACGCTTAAATCAGCCCTGCAGAGCCCAGTGATTTCACTGGTTTGTAGCTGGGGCTCAGCCCTGTACCCCAAAAACTCTTAGGGGACCTAAAGATTGAGACGATTCTATGATTCTATGATTATGTTTTTAATTTGGGCTCCAGAAAGAAGGCTCAAGCCAGCACTGTTTTAAAATCCTGTTTATTGGAACACACATACATCCTTTCCTGACCCGATCCAGGGTTTGGAGTCCATGCAGTACCAATAATATGACGAAAGAAGTAGGGCATCGATATAAAGGGCTCACCGACTCTTCAAATTAAAAAAATATTTAATACTGTATTAGGCAAATAATACACCGAAAAGACATCGTGACTGTATAGCCTCTCAGATATTGCACTTCCAGACAGCACATGATAAGTATAAGGTCATTCCAGCCATCAATAAATATCACATCAGAAATAGGGGCCACACAAGGCAAACGTGGCATGAGGAGACGAAGAGATCCTACCCTACGGGGGAGAAATGGGAAGAGTTCAGAGCCTCCTGGATTGATCCCTGCCCGTAGCTGGGAGGCAGGAGGGGAGAGCATCTCCTCTGCACCCGAGGGGAAGGGATGGACACGTCCCGGGGTGGTGGGTGCCCCCGCCGTGTCTCCCCGAGCACCCAAGGAGGGTCCCCTGTCCCGTGGGTGCCAGGCACCGTCCCGGCCGGCAAAGAGCCGTATGGGGCGGTTCCAGCCCTTCCCCACGCAGCCCCTCGTGGACCCACCGTGCGGGCACGGCCTACCCCTGCGTGGTGTCCAGCAGCACCCTAAAACGCAGCACCCTGACCCCACAACCCCTGGCAGGCAGCCACTCTCCTCGTCCCCGCGATGGCCGGTCCCTGCTCCGTCCCCTGTGGCCGCCCACCCGGGCACCAGCCCCGGGTTCCCCCGGGAGCAGCTCCGTGCCCGGCCGCCCCGGCGTGAGGGTTTCCATGAGCCTGAATCGTCCTTGGCTCCGAGTCCCGCGGGGCAGCGGTGGTGTCCCTGATGCTGATCCCTGCCCGTAGCTGGGAGGCAGGAGGGGAGAGCATCTCCTCTGCACCCGAGGGGAAGGGATGGACACGTCCCGGGGTGGTGGGTGCCCCCGCCGTGTCTCCCCGAGCACCCAAGGAGGGTCCCCTGTCCCGTGGGTGCCAGGCACCGTCCCGGCCGGCAAAGAGCCGTATGGGGCGGTTCCAGCCCTTCCCCACGCAGCCCCTCGTGGACCCACCGTGCGGGCACGGCCTACCCCTGCGTGGTGTCCAGCAGCACCCTAAAACGCAGCACCCTGACCCCACAACCCCTGGCAGGCAGCCACTCTCCTCGTCCCCGCGATGGCCGGTCCCTGCTCCGTCCCCTGCAGCCGCCCACCCAGGCACCAGCCCCGGGTCCCCCCGGGAGCAGCTCCGTGCCCGGCCGCCCCGGCGTGAGGGTTTCCATGAGCCTGAATCGTCCTTGGCTCCAAGTCCCGCGGGGCTGCGGTGGTGTCCCTGATGCCTGGGGCTGGGGCGAGTCAGTGCAGCGGCCCAGGGGGGATTGGCCACCCGAACCAGGCAGAAGGAAGGTTTCCAAAGGTCTCAGCCCACTTTTCGGGCGTCTCCGCTGCTCCGCTGGGTTGTACCTCGCTTCTGCGGAGCCGGCACCCAGCGAGGGTGTCCCGTAGCCCGGCCGGGGTGGGGAGAGGTGGGTTGGAGGAGCCACAGGTGGGAGCCACGGGGAGCCAAGGGAAGCGGTGGGGGCACAAGCAGAAGGGAGAGCATCCTTTTCGGTCCACAGCAGCGAGACCGCGGCGTCGGGTGGTTCGGGCCGAGGCGCAGGCTGGGCTCCTGTCCTGAAAGGCAGGAAGCACGTGGCCGTGCGGACAGCGGGGATGTGCTGAGAAACGAAGCAGGAAAGGCCCTGTGAAGACGTGGCTCATCTCCACCCCTGAACCCCCAGGCCAACAAACCCAGACGGAGTCAGCAATAGAATCATAGAATCATTCAGGTTGGAAGAGACCCTTGGGATCATCGAGTCCAACCATCTCCCCTACTCTACAAAGTCCTCCCCTACACCATATCCCTCAGTACCCCATCTAAACGGCCCTTAAACACAGCCAGGGATGGGGACTCCACCCCCTCCCTGGGCAGCCTGTTCCAATGCCCGACCACTCTTTGGGTGAAAAATTCCTTCCTAATGTTCAGTCTAAACCTACCCTGTTGGAGCTTGAAGCCGTTCCCTCTCGTTCTGTCACTAATTACCTGTGAGAAGAGACCAGCACCAACCTCTCTACAGTGTCCTTTCAAGTAGTTGTAGAGAGTGATGAGGTCTCCCCTCAGCCTCCTCTTCCTCATACTAAACAGCCCCAGCTCCTTCAGCCATTCTTCATATGATTTGTCTTCTAGACCCTTCACTAGTTTCGTTGCCCTCCTCTGCACTCGCTCCAGCACCTCAATATCTCTCTTGGATTGAGGTGCCCAAAACTGGACACAACACTCGAGGTGTGGCCTCCCCAGTGCTGAGTCCAGGGGCACAATCACCTCCCTACTTCTGCTGGTCACAGTATTTCTAATCCAAGCCAGAATGCCGTTGGCTTTCTTGGCCACCTGGGCACAACCATCTCCGGGGCACTCACCGGTGACAGTCGTGCCAGACCCAGGCGTGGCGGCCGTTTTTGGGGCGGAAATCGGACTGCCCGTTGTTGTGGATCTGGGAGGAGAAGCGGAGGAGGCGGCGGTAGCCGGAGGTGACGGAGGTGTTGACGGCCGAGCTGGCCAGGCAGTTCTCCTCCAGTGCACACTGCAGCATGAACATGGGCCTGTCCTCCAGGTAAGCTGTCTGCTCCACCAGCTCGGCGTTGAGCACCAGGTCGGGGGCAGCTGTGGCAGGGAAGGCTTGAAATTAATTTATGGGCTAATTAAAGCACCCCCCCATCCAAGCACCAGCCCCTTTCTTACACTTCCCTCACAGCAGTTGAAGCGTCAGACCCAATGACCTTACTTAGGTCGGTGAAAATTGAGGTGCCCAAAACTGGACACAATACTCGAGGTGTGGTCTCACCAGTGCCGAGTACAGGGGGACAATCACCTCCCTACTTCTGCTGGTCACACTATTTCTAATACAAGCCAGGATACCGTTGGCCTTCTTGGCCATCTGGGCACACTGCCGGCTCATATTCAGCCGCTTGTCAATGAGAACCCCCAGGTCTCTTTCCTCCAGGCAGCTCCAGCCACACTTCCCCCAGCCTGTAGCGCTGCAGGGGGTTGGTGTGGCCCAAGTGCAGGACCTGGCACTTGCCCTTGGTGAAACTCATGCCGTTGATCTTGGCCCAGTGATCCAATCTATCTAGGTCCCTCTGTAGGGCTTCCCCATCCTCCTGGGAATCAACACTCCTGCTTAACTTGGTGTCATCTGCAAACTTGCTGATGATACACCCTATGTCCTTATCGAGATCGTCAATAAAGACGTTACATAGAAATGGTCCCAACACTGAGCCCTGAGGCACACCACTAGTGATCGGCCACCAGCTGGATTTGAATCCATTGAGCACAACTCTTTGGGACCGTCCATCCTGCCAGTGCTTCATCCAGCAGGTCGTATGCTCGTCCAGGCCGTGTGAAGCCAGTTTTTCCACCAGATTTGTATGGGGGACAGTGTCAAATGCTTTTCAAAAATCCAGGTATACAATATCAACAGCCTTTCCCTCATCCAATAATCTGGTTATCTTGTCATAATCCTCCTGGCCAGAGGGGAGACGTGCCCCAGGGTAGAGCAGGGTCCTGGGAGACTCTCTGAAGTCTACCCTTCCCTCATCCCACTGGGACCTCCCCATCTAGGATGGCATGTGGGGTCCCCAGTGGAGCTGTCTGTCCAGGGACTGGACAAACCGTACGTGGTTGGGATGCTGAGCATCCCTTCTGCATCATCTCGGGGTTCTGTGAGCCTCAGGCACCAGCGGGCTGGTCCCTCAACACTGAGGTCTCCACGGTCCTCCATGGCAAGGCAAACCTCGGTGAAGGCAGACCCTGCCTGGGGGTACTGGGCAGAGGACAATGGGCCTCGTGCCCTCCTCTTGCTCCCCATCCAGCTCCAAAGCCTCTGTCCTCCTCCCACTTACCCAGGGCCGGGCTGGTTCCCGTCACGCTGACCCTCAGCAGGAGTACGTCCGGACCGTGGAGGTCTCCAGCCTTGGCGACCCAGAGGCACCAACTGGAAGTGAATCAAAAAGCAGAGCGTGTAATTAGTGAGTGCTCCAATTAGGCCTCGGCTTCCCACTGAAACATTAATTAGGCAGCAGCTGTGCACTGGAGCCACATGAAGATGAGGGTCAAAGGAAGAGGGACGTTTGGCCAGCTCTGATGCTCCCAAGGCTCCGGCGTATTTGGAAAGTTGCCACTTGCTGTCCCTGCTCAGGGGCAGTGAGGTCACAGAATCCCAGAACGATATGGGGTTGGAAGGGACCTCTGGAGATCACCCAGTCCAACCTCCTGCCCAAGCAGGACCACCCAGAGCAAGTCACAGAGGAACGTGTCCAGGAGGGTTTGAATGTCTCCAGAGAAAGAGACTCCACCACCTCCCTGGGCAGCCTCTTCCAGGCTCTGCCACCCTCACAGGAAAGTTCCTCCTCATGTTGAGATGGAACTTCTTATGTTCAAGTTTGTGCCCGTTACTGGTCCCTTCTGCCCGTGTCTGGGTCCTGCCAGTCCTGGGGAATTTGTCCCAGGTTTGTTGTCCTCACACAGGTGGGAATTGCAGCTTCCAGGTGGGAAAAGGATGAGCAGCAGTTTGACCCAAACTGCTGGATGGAAAACTGTGAAATTTGAGCAAATCTGGAGACAGGAGAGCTGAACCTGGGGCTTGGAGCCAGAAGGT